ATGTGGATGGAAAATGCTGATTAAGTCTTCTGAGACAAAAGCAGGTTCTTTCCCAAAGAAGCCCTAGAGAGGGGACAATGTCAGATTTGCCCACACCCTCCCCCAAAAGGAAAAGATTGTGCCAAGGAGTCAGTACAAAGTGGATACATTAAAGAACAGCATTCAGAAAAGCTGGGCCCATGTATGATAATAATATAATACTGGGCTGGGGATGTGGCTCAAGCGGTAGCGTGCTTGCCTGGCATGCGTGCGGCCCGGGTTCGATCCTCAGCACCACATACAAACAAAGATGTTGTGTCAGCCAAAAACTAAAAAATAAATATTAAAAAAAATTCTCTCTCTCTTTAAAAAAAAAAATAATATAATACTGAACTGAAAAATTCAACAGCAGGCTTGACCAAGCAGAAGTAAGAATGGGCAAATTCAAAAGACAGGTAATTTGAAATTACTGAGTCACAGGAAAAAGAAAACAATTAATAAAAAAAAAAAAATGGAAAAAAGTAAAGAAACTTTGATGAGACACTATCAACTGGATAATTCTAGAAGGAGAAGAGAGAAAGAAAGGGGACAGAGCTTATTCAATAATGGTTGAAACTCCCCAAATTTGAGGAAGAAAACATTCAAATTCACAAGGATGAACTCAAAGAGGCCCTTACCAAGACACATTATAACCAAACTATGAAAAATCAAAGACAAAGATGAAATGTTGACAGCGCCAAGAGAAAAGTGACTCATCACGTACAAAGGAGCTTCATCAGCAGAGTTCACAGCAGAAACATTACAGGCACAAGGAAATGGGATAATATCTCCAAGTGCTGAAGGGAAAGAATACTACATCTTGAAAAACTGTCATTAGAAGAAATAAATAGATAAACAAAAGAAGATGGCGTTCATAACCATTAAATCTGAGTTAAAAGAAATGCTAAAGGGAATCCTTCAAGTTCAAATTCAAAGACACTAGACAGTGAGCGATACAAATGCATATGAAAAATTAAACCTATCCTGTAAAGATAAATATTTAGACAAATACAAAATACTTCAATAATGGTGATGTGTACATCACCTTCAATTTTGGAATTGAATTGAAAAGATAAAAGTAAAAAGTATAAAACAATGGGGACAAAATGTAATTT